GAGTCTGGACAAGGTAACACTCACATATGGTAAACTCAAAAGCCGTTGGCGATAGGACCCGTCATGACATTTGTCATAACAACCATGATATATAAGTACATTGTCAAATGTTATTAGATTCCACCGTTTCAAAGAAAGTGGGCTACCAAAAACAATTCCCAGCCTCAGAAATATTTCGAGCCCCCCGGAAAAGAGATCCTAGGTACAGTATTCCAGAGATATACGGCTATTCATTGTCATGATGACGGAAGAAGTAGCAATGGCGAGATAATCAGCCATCTTCTTAAATCCTCAACTTAACACATATTTTCAACAAAAATGATATTGAACGACAATCTATAGATCTTCAACTCGATCTGTCGCCCAACAAAGTTGAATGAGTTCTTCCTTTTTCGGATTTCTCAGAAAAAGACACACAACCATGCCTGGCACCGAAGAAGCCCAGAAACTGATCAAGGAGTTTTCTGAAAAAAACATTGACGAATGCTGTCGTTCGTCGACATTTACCGTCGAGGTAGAAGAGGTATTGTGTCATTGTAAAACGACTGGAAGAGATATGTCCAACTGTTGATTGTTAGTCAGTTCGAGGTCATATACACCAAGAGCTAGTCAGTTGGCTTCTCTATCGAAAGCTGGCAGCCGACTGCTGCCGTTCCAACATCGCTCTGCATGGCTTCGGACTGTATGTCACACAGTCGTTTCGTTTTTTTTTTTTTTTTTTTTTTTTAATTCGTACTAACAGAGGCAGTCTTTTTGAAAAGTCTGCGATTGAATGCCTCACAGATGCCTGCTGGCTCGAGAGATACCTCATCCAACGCGGAGGTAGATGCAAGCCCACCAACCTCGAAGTTCCCGCGTTCGAGTTCCCAGACAACCCAGTCGAGCCAATCGTGCCGCTAAACAGGGCGGTCGAATGCGAACGCAAGATTCTCGATGATCTGGAGCGGTTGATGAAGCTGGCGGAGAAAGCCGGTTGTTACTCGCTCTGTACCGCGCTCGACAAGCGGTTCTTGGGCAAGCAGACGCATCATGTCAAGGATATGGCGGATCTGTTGCAGCAGACGGTCCGGGTATCAAAGCATCCCGGACATGGGATTTTCCATCTTGATCGCGAGCTGCGTCGTGCCAAGGGCAATATGCCCTGGGGCAAAGTTAATGATCCCGATTCCGTGGCTCTTGCGATTGACAATATCTGCTCGCAGTTGGACAAGGCTGAGGTGTGAGAAGAATTTCTCTATTCAACCCATATATAGGCTGTCGTGTAAAATCACAAGCCTCATATATAGACAAATCCGAAACAGTTTGACAGCAGGATACAAAACGCCGAGTACTGCGATATGAGTTAGGGCGCTTTCCATAAAGACACCAATATCTCAAAAATGACAATTTACAGAAAAACAAATGACCCCGGTGCTTTTCCGGGTAGTAGCAAGTAGGCGAATAATCCAAATCATCAAGAATAAACTGCAATACGGGCATAAAAAAGAAAACTCAGGACCCAATCCATTTAAGCAATACAGACACCAGGTGCTGTCTGTGGACTGGCTTGGCTATGTAGTCGTTCATGCCCTTCGCCAGGTATATCTCGGCATCTCCTTTCAACGCATTCCCAGTCATAGCGATGATGGGGACGTCGCGGTTCATTCCGCGAATAGCGACGGTTGCATCCATACCGTCCATAACGGGCATGTTGACATCCATTAATATAGCACTAAAAGAGAGCGGCTTTTGCATGACTTTACGAACTGCCTCAGCGCCGTTCCAGGCTGTGTCAACTTTCTCGAACCCAATCACTTTCAACATTTTCAACATGATAGTCTGGTTCACCATATTGTCTTCAACCAAGAGAATATGCCTATTTGGGGCTATTTTCTTGATTTCTTCATTCTGGTTCGGCTTCGGTCTCAGTTCCAAGGCGTATGTTTCGGAACGAGTGGTACCAATCTTTCCCATCTTGATAGACAGCCAGAAGCGACTACCCTTTTCGCTAGGGTGTGGATGGAACCCTATTTGGCCCTCCATTACCTCGGCCAAGCTTTTGCAGATAGATAGGCCCAATCCAGTGCCTTGATACCTTTTTTGATTGCTATCGGCGAATCGGGAAAATGGGGTAAACAGTGAACTCACTCCATCGTCAGGGATACCAATACCGGTATCAGTGACTGTTGTCGTAACTTCATACGCGGTTTCATCCTCTGGATGTTGTTGGCATGTGACGTCAATTTGGATGCTCCCATGGTCGGTGAATTTGACAGCGTTTCCCACTAGATTCTGAACTATTTGCCGATATCGTAAGGGGTCTCCCTTGACATGCTTTGGCAGGTTGTCGGGGAATTGAACGTGTAAATCGACGTCCGGTTTCAAGGACGGGTGGCAGTTTCGATAGACGGCACCAACAACCTCTTTAATGTCGACAACGCCAGAGGTAGTGGAGAAAGTGCCCGATGACAGTTTTGAGTAGTCAAGAACATCATTAATAATTCGCAGCAACAGAGAGCCGGTGTCCTCAATAATAGACACATACTCCTCTTGTTTTTCATCCACAGCAGTTTCGCTGAGCATTTGAATGGCCATCAGCATTCCGTGCATAGGCGTGCGAATTTCATGGCTCATGTTGGCGAGAAAGTCGGACTTCAGCTTGGAAGACTCCTCGTAGGCGGCGATCAATCGCTCCTCGGCCGCCTTCCTCTCGGTTAAATCCCGTGTCACTTTAGCAAATCCAATATGGAGACCGGCTGTATAGACCGGAGTCATCACGACATTGGCCCAAAAGCGAGAGCCGTCCTTTCGAAAGCGCCAGCCTTCATCTTCCACTTTGCCTTCTCTTAGGCAAACTTCAAGCTGCTTGTTAGGTTTTCCAGCAGCACGATCATCGTCACCATAGAAGATCGAAAAATGTCGGCCAATGATCTCATCGGAGCTGTACCCCTTCAGAATAGCCGCCGCTGAATTCCACGTTGCGACATGACCAGATGTATCTAGCATGAAAATGGCATACTCCTTGATGGTATCAACAAGGATTCGATATGTCTCGTTCATGTAGACTAGCTCCTTTTTGCTTTGCCGGATTGGCTGCGCACTTGTTACATCGTGGGCAGCCAGTAATACATTTCTCAGCTTTCCACCTTCAAGAACCGGGGTTATCCGGAGATGGTAGATAGAGAATACTGTCCCTACAGCAATCTCGACGTCTTCGATGATCTGGGGCAAGCCACTGGCGATTGCAGTAGTGATGACTCGGTGCAAAGTGGTGATATCCGGCGCAGGAACCTTGTGAGGAGGAAAGTCAAAGATGCTCCGTCCTAGGCACTCCTTCCCGTCAAAGCCGGTGAAATTTAAATGGCTATCAGAGACTTGGATCACTCGCAGTTTTGCATCGAGCACTAGCGTGGGAATAGGAATCAAGGCGAATATAGCACCGAGATCTGAGTCACTTGCAGGAGCAGCGCGGTCTTCAAGAGGGCTGAGGGGCTGTAGATGCTGCTCTGAGTACTTCCGAGTGTTTACTGGCCTCTTCACGTCGGTGATTTCTTCGATGCTCACAAAGGGCGCAGGCAAGCTCTTTGACAGCCTCATCACCGACTGCGGGGTAGACATCTCAAGCAGCATTCAACACACGCACTTAGTAAAGGGGTGTGAAGGAACGTAGCGTGCTGGATGTTGAGAATCGTCCGAGAACGATGGAGCAAGTTGTATTATGTCCCTCGAGGAAGGCGCAACCATGGCGGCCATCCCGGTTTCCTGATTTGGCTCAACCCAGGCACTAGGCGTGTCGAATCCGGTTTGACAGCGGTTGCCCCACCGACAGGGCACCACGTCATAGGCTGCCGCTGCTGATTCTTGACAAGCGGTCATTGGCCGGAACGTTGAACAGACCAATCATAGCGCGGTGGGTCGGCAGTGAGTTCCCCAAATGAGCGCCGTGTTTCCTCTTTGAGCCAACCTGGCACTCCCTACCAAACCTAACGAGGTAAGAAGTTGAAACCGCTTTCTCGTCGTGACGACACTGTTGCCTTTATTCGTATCTACCGCATGCTCAAGATATTCAAGATATTCTTTCGCCACATCAAATTATGGGCGGCTTATTTAGACAAACTACTATTAGGTCCAAGAATCAGGCTGGTTAGGCGTGTCGATGATTCCTCATTTGCCCAGTTTCGGTGTTAAAGACTTTATATATATATATACATTTGCTACATGGAAAGAACTATCCAAAACAAGTACGAGAAAGGACCTCCGCACAGTGGGCTGCAGGATCCGCCCTGGACAAGCGATCAAGGTCGTTACGTACTGTGAGAAACACATGAAACCGCCCCCCCCCCCCCACCCCCGCGGTGTTTGAAGAATTTGGGCTGGGGGTCAAATGGGAAGTCCAGACGATGATCTCAGAAGCACAGCCTTCCTATGCTGTCCACAATTTACTCAAGGGCCACGTGCCGGTTCCTGAGATATATGGATGGCGAACAGACGGGGAGGAAAAGTTCATATATATGCAGGATATACATTGACAGACGTTAGAGAGAGCGTTGGATTCGCTGGAGGTTGACGAACGTGAAGCAAACCCCCTTCAACTCCATGCTATTCCAAAAATCTTTGAACGTTGGGACACTAGAGTAAAAGACAGGACAAAAAAAGAGGCCTGGAAGCCCTGGCAGAGCGAAGCTTCTTTTCCCTTTTTTCTTCCTATAGAATCCTTTTATATCATTAGAGCTCTTGTAGCGATGACACCGGACCTGTTCCGTGAGATTAATATATACGTGTATATTAAACTATAAAACCAGACCCCGAAAACGGCTATCTCGTCTGCTTGTGCCTTGTTACATAGTTGCTGATTGGTTAATGACGTGGTTATAAATGCTTACTTTTTGAGGGCTCTTACTTGTAAATTAGGGATTAAATATAATTAAGAAACAATGCTAATAATTTATTGTGACAGCAAATCCTTGCACACCAAAAAAACTCACGCATGCTACCAAATAAAATCCAAAAAAAGAAGAATGTGGACAATCCGGTAATCGAAACCGGGACCTCATCTATGCTAAAGATGCGTCATACCACTAGACCAATCGCCCGTTATACAATTAACGTAGCACAAGACCTATATTACAAATCCACTAACTACAACCGGGCCCCTCTTAAGAGCATTGCGCGGTGCCATAAAGCTTTTGTTATGGTAAATTTTATAGTAATAATTCATCAATTATATCTATCCGACGTGTACTATCATGGTAATATTTGCATAATATTTTAACTTGTATGTACTATATAAATGTTTACATAGAATTGAAATCACGCAGTTTGCGGAACATTTGGACTATATAAATTACATAGGAAGTTATGATGCGAAGGTCCTCCGAGGGCTTTCACCCACATTGTAGTTCAACACAAGGAATACACATAGTTTTTGTTGATTTAATTCTATTCAAACCCCCTTCTTTTCACACCCTTGGTATAAAACCAGATGGCTGACTCCTTGTAAATACCCAAAGGTGTTCATGGAAGAGAACGAGAGGTTACGGCTCCCTACCTTGGGGTATCCAGTTCGAAAGGCAGTCTTGACATAGATAACTAGCACGGAGGATTTGGTGACCTCCTCGGAAAAGGCAGCAGTGATGCGGCTCAGGATGCCTTTTTGTATGCCACAGATCAAGAGGGCTTTGGTCGACATTGTGACTGCCTAATTCTGATTCTGTTGAGTATAGAAAGGTATGCCGGATCTGCGAAGCTTCATAATATTTTGGAGGCCAATCATCCATTTTTCGCAAATATTTCATACATATTGTACATATTGTGGTGTTGTCCAGAATTTGTACATTTGTGTCTCCTGTTTCTATCCTGTCTGTGTCCCGATTCTGCGCGGGCAGAAACCCGGAACGGGGATTTGCCTGTTGACTGAAGCTGGTTCTGAAGAGACGTTGAAACTAGTGCGTAGCAATTTGAACACCATAAGCCTTTTTTTTTTTTTTTTTTTTTTACATGTACGAGTCACAATATAGAGTTTTCCGCCAAGTATGCAGCTGTTGCTCATGCTAAAAACATAATTGTTGTCGCCTTGAAATGGTTTAATTTTGGGATCCACCGCGGGGTAGAACGAGTTTAGCAGATATCCTCGACAATATTCCCTCCCCCCTTCGTCTGGAAATATTCCCCCCCAAAAAAAGCCTACTTCAACATGGGAAGTATTGGGATCTAACACAAGGAAAAACAGAATCCAGCGACAAGAAAATCTGCGTGCGGCGTGTTTAGCGCGGGCCGAGCCACAGCGAAACAGCCCAGAGTCAGCCTCGTTAGGGCATGGTGATACCAGTCGACGAGTAACATCCGTCTGAACGTAATTTTTCTTGTCTGCCTTCTTGTCTGCCTTCTTTGACAAGTTCCATTGTAGCCTGCACTTAATCGTCATATTCAACGGGGGTCTCCGACTGAGCCAAACGAGCGGTTGACTCACTTTGGCTATATAAGTAAGTTCGTTTCTCGTAGTCAGAGAAAGAAATCATCCCATCCCAAGACATTCTCCTCATCCTCTCTACACAGTATCTACTGCCTCCGCCACATTTAATACCTCGCTCATATACATACCTCGCTCGATCTACAAAATGGCACGAAGCAAAGCCGGCTCAGACGCCTACAACTATACTGTCGCTTCTCATCTCGAGGCCAAGTTCGACATGCCCATGGAGGAGTTTGCGGCTGCTCATCCAGAGTTCGACCGCTTTATTGTTGGTGGCTTCGTATTCACAAACGCCCCGCTAGATGACCTCCCACTCTCATCTTCGGCGTCAGCGAAAGAAACGATATTACCCGACACGAGCGCTGACTCTCTGCCGCTGATGCTGATTATGCAACGCGCCGCCTCAGACTCACATGGTGGGCGCTTTGATTTCCCAGGCGGTTCAGCCGAGCCCACTGATGCCAGTCTGCTCGACGGAGTGGCGCGCGAGGTCTTTGAAGAAACTGGCTTTCATGTCAGCCATTTCCGCGAGTTTGTTCGCATGGACAATTGGGCGAAAGTGTACCCTGACAAAGGCCTGGTGCGCTCCGCCAAATTCTCGTTCGTGGTCGATGTCCACGAGAAAACGAGGGGCTGGGAGGACAGCGTGCTGCTGGCTGAGACCGAGCACAGTCGTTGGACGTGGGCTACACGCGACGAGATTGATGAGAGTGTGCAGTTATGCAAGGAAGGTATGGAGGACAATGCTCTGTACACTTTTGTCGGCGTACAAGGAGAGACGGCCCGAGAGGCGTGGCAGGTGTATTTGGGCCTGTCCGGAAAGGCTTGAATTTTGAGACATTTAGACTGTTTCTCTTTTTCTTTATTTGGCGGTTTATTCTAGTAAAATTTTTATACACTACACGACATTAATAACATTTGAAATATACATCATTGATACATTCCCGATGTGATATCATTACATATGTAATGTAGTATCTTAAATGTGTACAGTACCTAAGCAGTATCACTTCTATCGGACCAAAGAGGTGCAATTGACCTCGGTTCTATTATTATCATTTTTATACGAAACAGGCGGAAGTAATGACTAACAAATCAAGCTTCAAATATCACTGATTACTAATGTTTTGAGAAAACAATAGGGCACATATGTATTAAAACCCCATGATCTAATGTAAAAAGTAATTATATGATTTTAACCAATTTCCACGTGTATTCGATTCAAAGTATAAAACAAAATCAATGTTACATTAAGATTTTATTAAAAAGCCGCAGCTCCACCTATATAAGCCGGATGTACTCAAGCGGACATGTGACCTATTATTGATTGGCACGGCCGGCAATGCATGCAGTTTCAAGTATTTCAACTCCTTTTTGTCACCACCATCGCTTGTCATCTCCATCCATCACCACAGGCCAGAAGCACACCGCAAAAAGAATATGCCTGTCTCCAGTCCTGGGTCTCCTCCGGCCCAGCAGGCTGCGCCGCGTCGCCGCCGGAAACGGACTCAGGTCGCCAGGGCCTGCGATGGATGTCGGATCCGCCGCATCAAATGCGATAACAAAGTGCCGTGCTCCCACTGTCTGGACAAAGGGAAAACCTGCAGCAACAGCGGCGCTCCCCCAGCATCGACTCTCACCCAGGCGCACGAACATATTGGAATGCTAAAGCAGAAAATCCAGCAGCTCGAGGCCGAGCTTGAGCAACGGTCCGGCAGCGGCGGAAATCTGCCGACGCCGACACGCTCGTTATCGTCACCCTTTCAACAGGCCTATGTACCTACAGGGAATGACGCCAAGTATGGACGCGCAAAAAAGAACTCAGTAGGTAGGGGAGTACGGCTCTGCCCCGCGCGGTCCGTCAACGACGCATGGTTCGGTGCGTCGTCGTTGTTTTCTTTCATTCAGCGTCTCAGCGTGTTTTTGAGTATAAATCTCCAGCAAACACACTCGACACAAAACCTTCTTCCCATATCAGCAAGTGACAATAAACTCCTCGACAGACCGCGGGCGGGTTCTGGCGAAGACCCGGTTCGTCGGCTCATGTCCTCCACGGGGGAATTCCCCACGTCGGGCGTGTATTTGAGTCCCACGCAGGAAGAATATTTCCTCGATTTCTTCTGGCAGACATACCATACTTCATTGTCACCTATTCTAAACGAGGCACAATTCAAAAAACACTATCAGTCCCTATGGATGGATGGCGGCAAAGAGCGAAAACCCTCGGCACTTGTCGATATTGTCATTGCGATGTGTATGCAATATGTCATCTCTACGCTGCATCCTGACTCGCAGGGAGTTCTTGTAGAAGGCAAGGACGCCTTAGTCGCTGGTCGGTGGCATTACTGGCGAGGGCAGACCCTGTTAACATACGAGCTTGAGAGCCCGTCTATATCAACGTTACAATGCCATATCCTCTGCTCGGTATACTTGTGCGGTGGGTCCTTCCATAATATGATGGATACTTCCGTCACTCTCGCTGTGCGCACCGCGTATATTCTTGGTCTCCATGCAGACCCTCCACCGGGTATAACTGATGAAGAAACTGAAATGCGAAGACGCTTATGGTGGGCTGTCTACCTCATGGACAGTAAATCCGCAATGAAGCTTGGTCGTCCCTTCGTGCTACACGACTCCAGCGCCATGCCATCTCTGCCTGACGATAGTCTCGAGGCCGCGAGAGTTTCGGGGTCTACGTTTGCCCCTATTGGGGGAAATGCTACCTGGTTGAGCTTCAACCTGTACCAGACCACGCTTTATATCAAAGTTCGTGCAGCCTATACACATTTTTATCACACAGACCTCCAACTGGATAACGACCAAAACATATGGGACGAGTCGCACGCTCTCCAGATGGGTGCTGAGGTCTTGGATTCGCACCTCCCAAGCTTTCAAGAATGGACTGACAAGGTCCCCGAAGCTCTGAGGATGAAGCGACAAAATAGCGGAAAACCTCTTTCTATAGACGGCACACTTCCGTTAATCGAACAGTTTGCGCCACTTTGGCTACAGCGACAGCGCGTTATTCTTGAACTCACTTACCACCACCTAATCATCAATCTCTACCGGCCCATGATCTCTTTTACCGCCAGGGCACCGCCGGAAACTTCTGCTGCGAAGGTTGCCATGCGATGCGCCGCGCACTGCATCATGATTTCAAAGATCACTCATCAGTTGCTCACGCAGACATCGATTCTCGACGGATGGCACGAGGCGTTTCACTGGCAGTGGAATGCCGCCATGACACTAATCGGATACGTTGCAGCGTTCCCCCACGCACAGTTGGCTGCTGAAGTCCACGCTGCAATTGACCTGGCCATCGCCGTGTTTGACAACTTTGGCGTTAGGTTCTCAGTCGCGGCGAATGCGGCCAACATCGTGCGCGATCTGCGCGTTAAGGTCGAGTTTCTCGCAAAGAATCAAGCGGAAGGAGAAGCGTTGGCTGCGTCGACACTACTAAACAATCCTGATAATCCGGTGTTGAACGATACTTCAATGTCGGCCATGATAAACGGAGAAGTTATAATTCCCGAGTCGACGAACGACTTTGAATTGAACCTGTTTGATATGGCTGTGGATATCGATTTCTGGAGTAATTTTGATACTTTATGGCCAGAAATC